TTTGGGACAGATACCCCAGGTGGAGGTGCTCAAGGCAGGACGGGGCTGGTGGGCCAGAGGTCTCCCACAGCCCCAAAGTCCAGCGACAAATGGGGCTTCCAGTCGCCCTGGATACGTGGAGCTAACCCAGATGACCCCGAAGCCCTCCAGGCCCAGCCCCCATGGCTGAGAACACAGAAGGGCCGGCTGCCAGGGCTGCAGGATTAGTGCCCTCGCTCGTGCACATGACCAGTCCCAGCAGGGGGGCTGCGGGGGCTGGATGCACATGGGCCCTGAGCCTGGTACAGCCTGGCCAGGCAGTGGGGAGCGGGGGGTGGACAGGCAGCCCCTGTCTGCCCTCAGCTGGGGCCCAGGGCTCTGGTCACGTCCTGCCTCCCCAGGTCTCCTCAGCTGGGCTGGTGCACAGCCCTCCCCTCCCACTGTGGAGACAGGTCAGTGGGTCACAGGACACCCCGTGACTCATGCTGTGGGCAGCCTGAAGACCCCAGGACGCAGGATGGGCAGAGGGTGTGGCCAGGGGCTGGCAATGCAGCCTATCAGGGACTTCGCCTGGCGCAGCCAACAGAGAGCCCGCAGGTGGGTCCCGGCTCAGCCCAGCCTCCCAGCGGAGCCTCCTGGCTTCTCAGGACCCTTTTGTTCTTGCTCCACTCACCCTGCCTGTGCACACCTAGCTTTGGTTACCAAAGGGCCTGGCCTCCACCCGGGACAAAGGGCCAAGCAGCCAGCCCCAACCTGCCCAGATGGAGGTGTGAGCTGAGCCCAGCCCTGCCCCTCCCTCCTCCCTGCACACGGCTACCTGCCTCCCATCCCCCACGCAGCCCCAGCCAACGCTCCCACGGGTGGCCGGACCCTAGACCAGGCTGCCCGAGTGCAATGTCCACAGCAGGCTCCCGGGACGCTGGGTGCTCCCTGAGTCAAGTGTGGCCCCAGCACCAGGCACAGCCTCCACCCATGAGAAAGCTGAGGGAGGAGGGTCCAGGCGTCTGCTGGGGTCCCTGGCTTCAGAAAGACCACCTAGGTGGCACCTATGGGAAGAGCTGGTGGAGAGGTGGGAAGGAAAGGAAAGTTGACAAGAAGGGGCTCGGCCAACAACAGTGAGAGATGCAACAGCCCCTGGCCACCCAGGATCTGCGCTGCACAGGGGGAGAGGCAGGGAGGAGCCCAGTCTGGGGCTTGGTGCTGGCCGGGAGGTGGTGTCAGCAGGAAGGGCAGATGTCAGGGTGGCACTTGGGTCTAAGGATCAGAGAGCGAGGCCTAGGGAGTGGAGGCGGAAGTCCCACAGCAGGTGAGGGCAGACGGCCCTGGGTGTCCAGGACTGAGCCCTGGGGACACTGACATGCTCTGGCTGGGCAGAGAGCCAGAAGGGGAGGAGGGGAGGAGGAGAGGAGGGCAGAGGGGAGAGGAAGGGGCAGCCAGACAGGTAGGAGCCAGGCCAGGTGGCGCTCCACAAAGAGGAAAGGCTGCAGCGCCAAGTCCCACGGGCGGCAGGTGTGAGGATGAGAAGGGATGCCCCACCCTCCAGGAAAGCAGCCTGGGCGCGGCTGCAACAGCACACAGCAGTCTGCCCCAAGCTCAGCCTGTGAGACAGTGCACCTGCTGCTTCTGCCAAAGGACAACTTAAATGGGCCTGTGCCTGCCAGGCAGCTCCCCCACCCGGCACATAGGCCAGCAGCCCCCCACTGCCCAGAGCAGGGCGGCACCCCTCAGAGGCGTGCAAGGGCATCATACCCTGTGTGGGGACAGCCAGCCCCAGGGCAGGTGCCTCACAGACCTCCACCACCCAGACAACTCCACTGAAGAGCTGCCCTTCATCTGCACCCCAGGAAAAGCAGCAGCACCGCCAGTCACTGAGGCGCACAGTAAGCCGTTGGCCCACAGTCAGGTCCCGCTGGATTCCAGGCCCTGCAATCCCTGCACTCCACCCCCATGCTCTGGGGTCACACACAGCCAGTGGTCCCAACCAAAGGCTGGGGCCAGCACCGTGGCTCACGCCTGTAATCCCAGCACTTTGGGAGGGTGAGGCGGGTGGATCACCTGAGGTCAGGAGTTGGAGACCAGCCTGGCCAACATGGTGAAACCTTGTCTGTACTAAAAATACAGTAATTAGTCAGGCGTGGTGGCACACACCTGTAATCCCAGCTACTCGGGAGGCTGAGGCAGTAGAATCGCTTGAACCCTAGGAGATGGAGGTTGCCCTGAGCTGAGATACTGCCACTGCCCTCCAGCCTGGGTGACAGAGCAAGACTGTCTCAAAAAACAAAAAATAAAAAAAGGCTGCCTAGGGTGGTCAGGCAAGGCCAGGTACAGGACTCGCATGGGGCACCTTGCACCCCCACCTGTGAGTGCTCCTGGTCCAGGGGCCACAGAGTACATGGGACAGCCCTGCCACGCAGCCAACTGTGCCGAGGCCAGCAAGCCATTCTGAAAAGCAGGGCAGCCCCATGCCTCCGTCCTGTCCTGATGGACATTCTGGCTCTTCCCAGGCAGGGCAGCTGGCCTGTACCCAGGCAGGAAGTCACAGCCAGCAGGTCATGCTGCTCTGGCAGGGCCCTGCCCGGGCCACCTGGCCATGCCAGGCATTGTCCATCTGGACTCCCACCCCTTCAGGCTGGCCCGAGCTCCTCCCTCCTGCTGGTCCAGGGCTTGTTTCCCAGGCTCAGCTTCTCTCCCCGACTGCATCTTTCTGCTCCTGTTGGCCCTCCGGCCCCCACCCTGCCCTTCTGATTCTAACCCAGCCACAAGTGACCCCCACAGTTCTGTCCCCCCACCCCTTTTTTTTTTAAGACAGAGTTTCACTCTGTCGCCCAGGCTGGAGTGCAGTGGCGCCATCACGGCTCACTGTAAGCTCCGCCTCCCGGGTTCACACCATTCTCCTGCCTCAGCCTCCCGAGTAGCTGGGATTAAAGGTGCCCGCCACCACACCCAGCTAATTTTTTTATATCTTCTTAGTAGAGACGGGGTTTCACCATCTTGGCCAGGATTGTCTTGAACTCCTGACCTCGTGATCCACCCGCCTCGGCCTTCCAAAGTGCTGGGATTACAGGTGTGAGCCACCATGCCCGGCACAGTTCTGTCCCTTCTGAGGGCAAGATGGCCAGGCCCTAGGCAGCGGCCTCAAGTCCCAGGAAGAAGCCAGGCTCCCAGGGATGGCCACACAAGTTACGGGGAGGGGTTCTAGAAACAGGAACCTGAACTCAGTTCTCGCCCCACAAGCTCCATGACCTCATCTGACTCCTGAGCTGAGGTGCAGATTCCTCTCTACAAAGGGGGAGGTGTCCCCACTGCCACCTCTGGGGCAAGACCAGGAAGCACCCACCTCGCGTAGCCAGGGCCAAGGGTACGGACGCAGGGGAGGGAAAGGCAGACAGGAGCTGGGGGAGAGAGGCTGTGGCTATCAGACCGACCCCACCTCGATGGGCTGGGGTGATGCTCGGGCGAGGGTTGGGGAGACAGACCCATGTGGCTCCAGGAATGGGAGGGGCCCTGTGCCCAGCCCCAAGCCCCCACTGGAAGCACCTCAGGAGGGTTAGCACAGATGCCTGGGCTGGCAGACAGAGCAGGCAGGAGCACCAACGCCCTGGTTCCAGCAGGGGAGGATGGACAGGGAGAGGCACAATGCCAAGGCCAATCCCAGGCAGGAAGCAAACAGAGGGAGGCAGCAGCCTGTCTGCTAAGGGAGCCTGCAAGGTCCCATCCCCAGCCTGGGAAAACTGAGGCTGGAGGACAGCCCACCTCAGGGGTGAGCCTAGCCAGCACTGGCTCTGGGGCAGTGCCTGGACAGGAAGAGCCAAGGGAGACGCCCCAGGCCCCCGCTCAGTCCCCAGGGAAGGTACACCTGCTTCCTGACAGGTCACCGCAGATGGGGAAGTCACGTGGAGCTGCCCTTGGAATTTGCCCTGGGGAACAAATACAGGTGCAAGAATGACCAGGAAGAATCTGAGGATTTTCTTTTTCCTGTGCCCAGAGGGTTCCAGGCCATTGGCCAGGAGGGAGACTCCCCTGCCTGGCTGGCTCAGAGCCTCCAAAGTCCCCTTCTCCCCAGCAAGCTTCCCAGGCCCAGAACAGGCATATGCTAGACACTCACGCGGCACTCCTGCCCAGCTCCCAGCCAGTGTGCTTTCTGGGGCGTTGATAGCCCCCTCCAACTGGCTGGTGGGCTGCACCCCAGGGCTGACCGTGATGCAGGGATCCCGCCAACCCCGATTACGGGCCTCTTCCCACTCACATCCTGGCGCCCCGCGCCCATGCAGCGGGCCCTCCAGGAGACCATGTGAGGCCATCCCCTCAAAGCCAAGCCTAGGGAGGAGCCCACAAGCCCAGGTCTGCTTCTTCCAACTGGACTGACAAAGGGACAGGCCCGCCCCGCTAATTCCATATGAGCCACAAGAACTAGCAAGAGGCACAGCACTGTCTGCCCCGGTGCTCTCCAGCAGCCTCGCAAGGCACACAGTAGGTCAGCTGTCCCCACGGCCCATGTCAGGGGGCTCCACTGGGGCCCTGGACCCCGCACGGCTCACCCAGCCCCAGCTCGCCTCGAGTCCATATAGAAACCATCCTTTGCCCAGGCCAAGCGTCCTGGGATCAGCGCAGGTGCTGCCCACACAGTTGTGTGAGCTGTCACTCTCTCCCTCCTGGCCAGTGGCCCTGCCCCCACCACTGACCTTCTTTCTTGAGGAGCCAGCCTTGGTGAGGCAGGACTTCTGCAGGGCCAGGTAGCCGCCAATCACTTCGATCTCGTGCACGGTGGGGTAGCGCTTCTTCAGCGTGGGCCCCAGGAGGCAACCAGCCTTCTCCTCCTCGGCCTCCTGTGGCCGGGGCTCCCCGTTGGCCTGACTGAAGTTCTGGCCCTGCAGGGCCCCTGGCTTCCTCTTGGGCACCACTGTGAAGGTGTTGCTGCCCCGGGGCTGAAGCTCTGCCACGCACCCGGGCCTGGCAGGACGCAGGGAGCAGGGTAGTTTGGCTTCTTGGGGGGCCTCCTCCTCCCAGTCTACCTCATCGATGAAGGTGACAGGCAGCCCTGGCTTCCCGTATTCCCGGCTACTCTTGTCCAAGCCAGGAACCCTGAGGCCCTCAGCAGGCTCAGCTTCTTCTGCAGCAGCCGGCAGGAAGGGGGGTGGTGAGGACGGCCTCTGCCACCTGATGGCCCGGTCAGTGAGGGCGGTGGCTGTCCTGGGACAGGCCCCCTCCTCGACTGCCCACTGTGCCTCGACCTCCACGGGGCTCTTCCCTTGGGCAGGCGCACCATCCCCTCCAGGCACCGGCTGGGATCCGAGCTCCTGGCTCGGGGATGCCGGGCCCACGTCTCCCTTTGGCAGCTCCACGGACTGCGCCCCCTCAGGAGGAGGGGCCCCGGAGGCCTTGCTCTTGGGAATGAACATGAAGGAATTTCGCGAGTTTGCGCGGAGGCTGGCCAGCGCCCGGGCCTGGAGGTCCCCCGAGGGGATGGTCTCTATATCTGGCTTGGGGGCCGGCCGAATCTCGAAGGAGTCGTTGGCGCTGGTGGCTGCGGAGACGCACTGGCGCTGGCTAGGAGTGGCACTGGCAGGGGGCGAGGCTGGAGTGGCACTCGGGGTCCCGGGGCTGGGGGGCGGGTGGAGGGAGGGATCCCCCGACTCCACCTTTGGCTTCCACTGTCCCGACCCAGGCGGGGAGCCCGAGAGGCGGTTGGCAGGGCCGGCCCGGGACTCCGGGACCAAGGGCCCGTTGGAGAGCAGGTGGGCGTCCGCACTGCGATGCAGACCCCGGGGGTGAACGGTGAAGGAGTTGCTGCCGGTCTTCTGGAGGAAGTCGCTGCGACGGGCC